CTCATCATTTCTTAGTTATTTTCCTATCTTTCCTTTTACCTATGCTCTATTCACATTTTTGGTACCTGTACAGTAGGCAATGTCACGGTGGCGTGTGCATCTCTTCTCAACTCTGCATTGAGTGAACTCATGTTGGTAGCTTGAAATGAATCATGTGGGAGCATGCACAGCATGGAAATCAACAAATGCTACAAACTAGGACTTTTCGCTTTTCAGAGAACAAGTTGATGGTTTACCAGCACACCACTGGATGGAGGGGAGAGTCAAATGCTATTGCCAGATTTTTCAGAGAAAAATTAAGTTCTACAATGACTGGAATGCAATGGAATGGTCAAATGTATATTAAAACAGCTACTAAGGTATGAATATAGTCAGTTTTATTTGTTCTATCACAAATGTAAAAGTTGCTATTTTGTATGAAGATAGAAAGTAAATAACAAAAAGAAAAGATGATTACCTGTGTTCTTGGTGAGCATTAATGTTCTTCCACTGTTAGCTGCATCACATTGGCTTCTGTCCCTTTGGTCAAAATAAGTCACATTGCTAAGCCCAGAGTTAAGTTAACGAAGGTTAGATACCAACACCTTGGGGCCATTCCCCAAATCAACCCTCCGCCCTACCAAACCGGAAATACTAACATCTTGATGTTCCTTCTCTAGCATTTCTTCAGGATCCTCCATCTTGGAATGATAAAGCTGTGAACTGTAAAAAGGAAACCAACAATAGAAATCAGTGTGATGTTCATACGTGTGTGTTCAAATGTGTGTGTGCGTGTGTTCTAGAGAGGGATGATTTCTGAAAATAAGAAAACTACATCTAATGCTAATTCAAAATAGGCACTACCAGATAATGATTCACATTTTGCCAACAATGCATATTAGCCATCCCTTCTGGACACATACTATCCTATCTTTCAATTTTTCTCCTTTCTCACTTAACATTTAAGTATATCTCCATAAAGCTACAGTTGACTAGGTAAACAGAGAGTTGTCTTCCTGGCATATAAAATATTTTTACTCTATTCATCTGGATAGGATCTAAGCTCTCAAGGAATATTTTTTTCTTTCTTAAAAATTGAAAACTTAAAAACACTGGACCCATTAGTCCATGTGTATATGCATCTCATAAAAAGCGGGGCTTATAAGAAGGCAACCATCTGCTTATATGATGTATTTTGAAGGGTACCAGAAAAATCTCTTTACTGACCAAATACTTCTTCACTTCCTTGAAGCATGGGACACATGTTTAATAATTTTAGGTGAACCTTTTACGAATAAGAGTTTTACTGGTAGATACCTATCTTGGCTAAATTTAGGCCTGATAAAATGATGTACAGGCTAGGCACTTGGAAGAGGGCAAAAAAGGTAAGCGTCAGAAGCAGAGAGAAAAACTTTGAAAAAGGATGTAAAGAGATTTTTTAAAAAGCAATCTTTGATTTTTAAAAATTCAGCTGAAGTTAATTGAAAATATAACTAACTAGTCTATTAAGTGATACGGATTGTCCTGGGGTGTAACACAGTACCCCGCCATGTGCCGTGTGGGCAATAACCTAAGTGGGGGCCTGCCAAAAAGCATGCTTTGGTTCTCAAGAGGCTGTAGCTTGGTCTAGCTGTGTTTTAAGGCACTGTGAGGGCATTATGGGACTTTTTCCTCCAGTTGTGTTTTGGACGTTATGAGAAGAGCTGGCATTTATCCTATTCCCATGGAAGGCCCGAGCAAGCAGCTGCAGCTTTCATTTCTAGGATTGCCTCTTTGCAACCACCGCAGAACTCCTTTCAAAATATAAACAACAAGTTGGGGACGATATTACATTTTCTCCTTTTAAAAATCTTTACATTCTTGAATTCTCTTCTGATTTCTCAAAATCTTAAGATAATGACCCTCCTCTACCTTTAGTCAATTTCCCATGTATCTATCATTTATTAACAGAGGTTTTTTTTTTTTCATAAACCAATCTCACTTCCTGCTGTACCGTTGGAAAGAATGTAATCTCAGGTTTCTGATGCAATTGACCTTTATTTTTAAAGACTGAAGCTAGAAAGTCCTTTCCTTAATAATGTCACGTATATCATTTCATTCCTTATTAAGAGAGAGGAAACAATTTTCTGAGTCTTTTTTTTATTTTTCTTTTTTGTCACATTTATTCTGAATTTATTATAATTCGACAAGGAATAATCTGACTTGTTTTTGACTACCTATGAAGAGAAGGGTTGCATAAGTAAAAACTGAGCATGATTACAAGAACAATAACTGGTCTACCTAAGACAAGAACTTTTTCAGAAACTTTATGAGAATACATTTGCCTGTAATTGATATAAAAACATAAATATCTCACTGATGGAAATGTAAAATGACACAGGCACTTGGGAAAACAGTTTAGCAGCTTCTTAAAAAGTTAAACATACACTTACCATGTGACACAGCAATTTCCTTCCTAGGTATCTATCCAAGAGAAATGAAAACATGTGTCTATCCAAAGACTTACACACCGGTGTTCATGACAACATTATTCATGAGAAGGAAAAAGCTGGAAACACTCCAAGAGTCCATCAGCTGGTGAATGGACACACAAACGGTGGTGCATCCATACAATATATCATAAAAGGGAGAGAACTGATGATACATTCAATAACACAGATGAACCTCGAAAGCATTATGCTAAGTGACAGAAACCAGACACATAAGACTACAGATTGTATAATTCCATTGACGTGAAATTTATACAAGGGGTAAAACTGCAGAGATGGAACACAGATCAGTGGTTGCCTGGGACTGGGTTGGGAGGGGGATCATCTGTAGACGGGCCTGAAAGTAGCTATTGGGTGATGGCCATGCTCTAAAACTGGATTGTGGGGATGGTTGCACAACTGTATATATTCACAAAAACCTATCCAGCTGCCACTTAAAATGAGTGAATTTTATACCATGTAAATTATACCTCAATAAAGCTGCATTTTAAAAGAACATATTTAGTAGCAGGAAAAATAAGAAAATCTATGATGATCTATTTACCTTTTCAAAAAGAAATAAAGAGGGAAGGGGAGGACAAAAAAGGTAAAGGGAGTCAAACCTATGGAGACAAAAGGAGACTAGACTTAGGGTGGTGAGCACAGATGATGTAGAATAAAGTTGTACGCCTGAAACTTATATAATGTTATTAACCAATGTCACCCACAGACATTTAATTAAAATTAAAAAATTAAATCAAAAAACAGAAAGGAACATGGGAAGGATAAACCAGAAAACCATGAAGTTGGTTACCTATAAAGGGAATGTGGCAGTAGAACTTTGGGAGGGAGGGGCATTTGTACAAATATAAAATGGAGAACAAACTAAAAGAAATTAGCTCAGTTAGATTTCAAATGAATAGAATAACAACACAGAAGGAAAATAGAGAAAGGAAGACCTAATCCGAGGAATATGTGAATACAGTATTTGACTTATATCCACAAGTTATGGTGCGGTAAAGGGACATGGAGGAAATTACAAACAAATCCTGAACTCTTTTCAGTAGGCTTGTTTTATGTGGAGGCAAGGATGAAGTAATTCTGAAACTGTTTTAGACGTGTTATGCAATTGAGCAAGTAGATAAACGTATTGTTTGGGGAATCCACAGTTCTCACTAGAAAAAAACAAATGCAAATATGAAATAGGAAAAAACGAGAAAAAAACATTGTGGGGATGGATGGAAATTGAATTATTGCTATGGACCCATGATTTCTAAAATACGTGTATGTTCACATGTATATAAATTTATCTATGTATATAACTATGTGTATATGTATAAATAGCCATGGATTTCCTAGTTCACTCAATGGAAAGTTACAAGGAACAAAGATACCCCAGGAGCAATGAGCACACCTCGCACCCAGATCCTGATTTTCAATACCTCTCCCCATTAAAAGGAACCAAAGCTCTTTATACAAATGGCTGAATTTAGGTCTAGGGCAGATAGGTACAAGAGAAGCCTAGAAAATCTTTTAATGCCAGGTATTAAGGAAGCGTTCGACATGATGGACGGGAGAGTGTCACACATCACAGGGACACAGGAACCAGCTTGGCGGGGCTTCCCTGGCCAAATCTGAGACAATTTGAGCACCAAAATAATTGAATGCAGTATCGAATTATAAATAATTTAAAAAAATAAGTTATTCATGTTTCTATATCTATGATAAATATATAAGTAACTGGGGGGAATAGGAAGGGTTCTTGCTTAAAATAGAATACTAAGTGCCACATGGTAAATGGGGACAGAGTGCTAGAGTTGGAAAATAACCATTTTGCAACCATCATGATCTGTATTCGGTCTCTGTAGGTTTACCCCTTCTGTAAATTTCCCGTCAATGGAATTATACAATATACAATCTTATGTGTCTGGTTTCTGTCACTTAGCATGATGCTTTTGGGGTTCATTTATGTTATCGAATGTACCATCAGTTCTCTCCTTTTATGCAAAGATCAGTTCAGCAGAAATTATCAATGGATGCTGAATTCAGAAAAATATTTTCATGAGAAGCAGGATAGTTGCATGAACTTAAAGTATCTCTCCATAGATTGCATATACATGAGAAAGAGAGAGGAAGCAAATGGACGAAATGTTAATAAGAGTGAATCTGGGTAAATAGGTAAACAGCATAGGATATATTTTTGGTAATACTCTTACACATGCAACTTTCTATGTTTGAAATAATTTTCAGATAAAATGTTTAAAAATTGAAGGAAAAATAATCTAAAAGTCGCCCTTCACCCCAAACTCCTCTTCCCAAGAGTAGGCCAATGTTAACAGCTTTGCATGTATATTTCTAGATCCATTTCTATGCATTTTTTATTGTGGTAAAAATACATAATATAAGATGCACTATATTAATCATTTTTAAGTAACACTTGTGTGTATATTTCTAGATCTATTTCTATGCATTTTTTATTGTGCTAAACATATGCAACATAAAATTTACTGTGTTAACCATTTTTAAGGGTACAGTTCAGTTCATTAAGTACAAAAACAATTGGAACGCTTCTGAATTTCTGTGTCATCCTTGTGCAGAGGCCATGCCAATCTTCTCTATCTTTCCAATCTTAGTACATGTGCTGCCAGAGAGAGCACTCTATGCATTTTTAAAAGTACATGTTCCAATATTAAAAATGTAATCATACTGTACAGAAAAAGAAAAAAAATGAAGACAAAAGATGGAATTTCCCAGTAAAACAAAAACAAAAATATTTCTGACCAGTAGAACTTGCAAGCATGTTAAAGAATCTCTTCGAGCAGAAGGAAAACAACAGATGGAAATTCAAATCCACGCAAAGGAATAGAGAATACCAGAAATGGTAAATCTATGAGTAAACACAAAAACATTCTTTCTCTGATTTAATTTCTTTAAAAGATATTTGACTATTTAAAGTGAACGTAGTAAAGTGTGCGGAGTTTTTAACGCATGTAGAAGTAAAATGTCTGACAATAATTACAAAGTATGAGAGGAGGAAAATGGAAGTATACTGTTGTCAGGTTCTTACATGACACATGAAATGACATAATATTATTTAAAGGTAGATTGTGATTAGTTATGATCAGTTAAATATTGTAAACCCTAGACCAACCACTGAAACAACTTTAAAAAGGAAGGTATCACTGTAAGCCAATAGTGAGATAAAATGGAATCATAAAACAATTAGATTACTATAAATGAATAAAGAAACAAAAGAAAAAAGAGAACAAAGAATAGACTAGGAAACAAATACCAAAATGGTAAATTTAAACCCAACTATATCAATAATTAGATTGAATATAAATAACCAAACATTCTGTTATTACGTATATCAAAACATTATGCTATACACCTAAAATTAATACAGTGGAACATGTCAATTATATCTCAACTTAAAAAAATACTCCATAAAAAACTAAGATTGTCACATTAGATTTAAAAAATACTGTTTACAAGAAACCAACTTTAAATACAAAGATGTGTGCAGGTTAAAAATAAAATATTATCAAAAAATTTACAGAAAAAAGTAAAACATTAGATAATATATGCCACACAAGCACAAGGCAGAAGAAAGGGAATTTGCTATATTAATATTAGACGAAAGAGACTCAGATTAAGGGATCATATTGATAAAGGGATTAATTCATCAAGAAGACATAATAATGCTTATGGAGCTTTAAAATACATGAAGCAAACACTGAATTTTTTTACAGAAGTAAAAAAAGAAATAGACAAAATTATAGTTGTAGACTTCAACACTCCTCTCTCAATAATTGTTAAAATATATGAATGGACAATCAGTAAAGGTACAAGAGATTTAAATAGCATTATCTTCCAGCTTAAATTAATTAGCATTTATAAAATACTCTACCTAATGACAACAGAATAAACATTATTTTTGAGTGTACATGGAACATTTATCAAAATAGACCACACTTGAGGCAATAAAACAAGTCTCAATAAATTTTAAAGGATTGAAATTATTTATAGTATATTCTCTGACTACAATGCAATTAATTAGAAATCAACAATAGATATCTAGAAACACTGCTATGTTCGGAAATTAAACAACATACTTCTAAATATAACACAAAGATTAAAGAAGAAATCACAAGTAAAATTAGAAAATAGTTTGAACTGAATGAAAACAAAAGCAGCACCTATTAAAAGTGTGGGATGCATCAAAAGCGGTGTTTGTTAAAGGGGTAATTTATTACTTTCAACACTTATGTTAGAAAGAAGAAATGTTTAAAATCAAATATCTAAGCTTCCACCTTAAGAAATTAGAAAAAGAAGAATTACTTAACCCAAAATAGAAGAAAAGAAATAACCAGAATTCAATAAAATAATAAGTGGACAAACAATAGAGAAAAACGGTGAAACCAAAAGCTGATTCTTTGAAAGTGAAATTGGTAAATCTTTAGCTACACTGTACAAGAAAAATAGAGGGTACAATTATCAATATGAAGAATCAAAAATTCTACATACACTAAAAGGATAATAAGGGACTATTATAAATAATTTTAAGGCAATACATCCATCGAATTAGATACGATAGAAAATTCCTTAAAAATCAGAACAACTAAAGCTCAATAAAGAAGAAATAATCAAAACATCCTGACTTCTATTAAAGAAATTGAAGTTGTAGTTATCAACCTTTCTATAAAGAAAATGCTTAGATCCAGATGGCTTTACTGGTGAATTCTATCAAATATTTAAGGAAGAAATAAACCCAGTCATAAACAAAAAAATAAAGAGGAAAAGACTTTCCTATTTGTTTTATGAAGCTAGTAACACCCTAACACCAATACTAAAAAAAAAAAGAGGAAATTATTAGGATAGGAAACTACAGACCAAGACTCCTTATGAACCCAGGAACAAAAATCATTAACAAAATGTTAGTAAATCAAATTCAGCTATGTATGCATAAAAATTAAAAAAAAAGAACATCGTGACTAAGTGGGATTTATTCCAAGAATGTAAGTTTGATTCAACATGCAAAAATCAATAAACGTAATTCACCATATTAACAGACTAAAAAGGAGGATCTATACGGTCAGCTCGATAGATGCAGAAAAACATTTCACAATTTTCAACACTCACTCCTGTTTAAAAAACAAACCAAGACTCAGCAAACTAGAAACAGAAGAAAATTTTCTCAGTCTAATAGAGGAAATCCACCAAAAATCTATAGCTAACACCATATTTAATAATTTAAAACTGACTTGTTTCCTCTTAAAATTAGGGAAAAGACAGGAAGTCCCTTCTGGGCATTTCTATTCGACAGGAGCTCCTAGTCAATGTTATAAAGCAAGAAATCAAAACAAAGACCATGTAGTTTGGAAAGGAAGAAATAAAACTGTTATTATTTCCTGTTTATTTGGTTGTATATGTACAAAATCCTAAGGAATCTACCAAAAGCAACTACAGCTAAGTAAATTGAACAAGGTCACACAAAAGTGCTAGCAACAAACAATTGGAAATTGAAAAAATGTAAATATATCAGTTACAATGGCATCACAAAGCATGAAATACTTAGGGATAAATTTATCAAAATATGTGATGATATGTACATTGAAAAATCCAAGACTTTTCTGAGATAAATTAAAGAACATCTAAGTAAATAGTGACATGTACCATGTCTATACCTCAAGTGACTCAATATCGTTAAGATGCCAATTCCCCCTAAATTGATCTATTGGTTAATACAATCCCAATCAAAATTCCACCAACATTTTTTTGTAGAACTCTATATAGAAATGCCAAAGACCTAAAATAGCCAAATAATTTTAGAAAAGAACAATCACTACTTGATTTCAAGACTTACTATAAAGCTAAAATAATGAAGATAGTATGGTGTTAGCATAGGATAGACATATGGATCTATGAAACTAAATCGAGAATTCAAAAATGAGTCTACACATAAATGGTCAATTGCTTTTCAATAAAGGTGCCAAGATATCGACAATTAAAACATGGGTGTTTTAACCAATAGTTGAAATAAATTCTGAAAAGACAGTCTCTTTAGCAAATGGTTCTGTAAAATATCAAATTTTCATATGGAAATAAAAACAAAATAAGACCAAAAAAAATCTCAACCTTTACCTCACACCACATAAGAAAATTAATTCCAAAGCATTCTCGGTCTAACTGTAAAATCTAAAACCATTAAACTTCTAGAACAAAACAGGAGAAAAATCTTTGTGATTTGGGACTAAACAAAGTTGTCTCAGGACACAGGCACAAACCATGAGTAAAAATCAATAAATCGAAGATGTCTTCGAAATGTAAAACTTTTGCTTTTCAAAACAAACTGTTAAGAAAGTGAAAAGACAAGCCAGAGATTGGGAGAAAATATTAGCAAAATATATATGTATGAAAGAACTTGTATCCAGAAATTGTAAAGAATTCACAAAATTCAATAATATGACAAACGATCTGATTTTTTTTTTTTAAATGGGCAAAAGATTTGAACAGACACTTCACCAAAGAAGATATACTAATGGCAAGAAAGCATGTGGAGAAAATAAAAAACATTCAACATCATTAATCATTAGGAAAATACAAATAAAACGACATGGGCTACCTCCATACACCCTCCATAATGACCAAAATTTTAAAACTGGCAACATCAAGTGTTGATAGGATGTGAAGCAACTGAGACACTAACAGACAGTTACTGATAGGAATGCAAAACGGGCCACCACGTTGGAAAAGCTCGTCAGTGTCTCATAACGTTATACATAGACTTACCATATGACCCCACAATTCCATGTCTAGATATTAACCCAAGAGAAATGATAATGCACATCGATATGAAGGCATGAATATTCATAACATCTTTTTTCATAATAGTCCCAAACTGGAAACACCAAACGTCATCAACAAGTAAATGGAAAAACAAATTATAGAACTCTACCTGGTGATATAAAGGAAC